CTCGAGTCCAGCAAATTCAGGAGTTGAACACAGACATATACAACCACACACAAAAAGAGATCCCCATCGCTCTCTATCTCTCATTCCACATCAAATCGAGCAACTGTTCCATCATGGACGCCCCAAGATTGTACCGCGGCGGTAGGTCTTAGTATTATCCTCCTATGATCACTGACTCCTCGCTGACACCTATCCCCCTCAAGGGCCAGAACAGCGCAAGGCTGTGATTGCCGTCTGCATGGGCTCAGACACAGATCTGGCGACCTTGCGTCCTGGCATTGAGATTCTCGACACCATGGACATCCCCTACGAAGTCCACATCACTTCGGCCCACCGCACACCACAATATATGCTCGATTTTGCAAAGGGCGCCGCAGGACGGGGGCTCAAGGTCATCATTGCCGCTGCCGGCGGCTCTGCTCACTTGCCGGGAATGCTGGCCTCGGAGACGGTCCTCCCCGTCATCGGCGTCCCTGTCAAGGCCATGGCCTTGGACGGACTTGACAGTCTGTGCAGCATCGTCTCGATGCCGCGAGGCATCCCCGTGGCCACCGTGGGCATTTCCAACAGCGTCAACGCGGCCATCCTGGCGGCAAGGATTGTCGGGACGAGCGACGAAAAGGCTCAAAAGTGGGTTGCGGACCATCTCAAGAAGATGGACGACGACAATATGGCCAAGGAGCGTCGTCTCCAGGAGGAGGGGTGGTCGACGTACAAGAAATTGGACTCATGAATGTGGAAATGGGTCATGTCAGATGGGATTCTCTCCAAAGGCTCTAGTCATTTCATGAGCCAATACCTACGAGGACACGCGCGATGAGATAGAAGAAACATGCTTTGTATGTACTGTAATTCCTGTTCTGGGGGGGTTCAACAACGCAACGGGCCAAAAGCGACAGTGCAAAAATGGACCATCTTGATTCTTGACATGTTCTCAATAGTCCCACTGTGCCAGATCCAATATTGTTCGACATACCAGCTCTACCAAGATCTTGGGTGTTTCGGGAGTAGCGGGCGGAATCAATTGCGCATCTTCCTCGGTGTTGCCCGTCTGCAATCTATTCGTCAGTTGGAATTGCTTGTCCTACGCCCATTTTGTATTTCGTCGGCACCATCGAGCTACATTATCAGCGATATCGAGGGTCGTTCTGTTATGACATTCAAAGCCCAGACAGCTCGACGTCGATTGCCGCTAACTCTGTTGCATGGAATGATAAGAGGAGGAATCCGGCTCGAAAACTAGGTGATACCGACAACCGCCATCGTGAAGATAGCCACTCAACGCCACGACCGAGGTTCGCTTGGGGTTTATCTGAGTCCCTCATACACGATACGCCTCTGATAGTGGCTGGCGTTGCCCGCTCCCAGTCCCCTGATGCATCCCTGACGCTAAGTCGTCCTGCGATCGGCCTGACATCCTTGACCTCACAAGATCAGATCTCGACATACATTGTGATGCTCTCACGTGCAGCCCTAGACACCTACATCGCCTACGGACATCGATCATGGCGACCAAGCCAAAGAGATTCGTCTGCCCCAACGATGCCTGCCAGAAAGGCTTCACCCGCGCTGACCATCTGAGGCGTCACATGTTGAACCATGGCGACGGGGAATACACCTGTACGAGATGTCGCTTGCACTTTAAGAGATCCGACCTCCTAGGTAAGGCGAGACGGCTGATCTTACGCAGCGCGGGCCTTGGCTGTGACCACGAATGGCTAATTCGAGTTGTCACTTAGATCGCCATGTGGCGCGACATCGGCAGAAGGACGAAGAGGCTGGCGGTGAAGGACTCGGCATTGTCGAGAGTCGGAAACGACTCTGGCGAGACGCAAACGGGAATATCGTCAGGGATCGGCCCTCGCACAGCTACTTGCGCAGGCAGTGGATGAAGATGCAGTCTCTCGACCTCGCGCAGCAGAGTGCCCAGATACCCATTTTCATGAGCTGTTTGGATACTCCCACATCTGTCGATACAGAGAGGGCCTCTCCGTCGAGGTCCAAGTCTGGGCCCGACACGGTGACTTCCCAGGGCCTTGAGGCTGATGGAATTCCTCAAAGTCAAGGCTTGATCGAGACGGCGCTGGGATTTGACATGTTTGAGTTCATGGCCAGGTCGTCCTGGGACTTTCCGACCGATGATCTGGAGATGCAGGTCGACGCTCCCTGTGATGAAGCGTCGACACAGAACACTATGGGGGAAGCACCATGTTCACGACAAATGGATCGAACTGGCCACTCCGCCACAGCAACAATCTCTTATGATGGACTATTCACTCCGGTGGCCAGTCTCGACTGGCTCATCGACCCCAATGCCAACATAATGTCTGGTCTTGAATCATCGCAATTTAGACAGACCACGACCCCCAATCCGCCACCGAACATGTCTCAACAACCGATGGATTCGTCACTAAACGAATTATTCACCATGCCGCCCGAGACGGAGAGCGAGCCAACATCGATACAACCACTGGAGCAGCTTTGTCAGCCGCTGCTACAGAACTCGACTGGAGCAACGGAGACTCTGGACGAAGTTTCGGCAACCCCAGCAGTTGGTACAAGAACCTCGAGAATACCAGCTCCATCAGAACTTGTCTCCGCCCTAGATTCGTTCTGGGAGACCGGGTCTTCTACTTTTGCTTTGACACGTCCAGGATCTTCAAGAGGGGCACGAGAACAGTCTGAGCAGATGCCACAATCTGAAAGAGACAGCTCGTGCTCTGTGTCAAGCCTGGACAGCCTTCCCAGTCGGTTGGCACATGCACCACTGCTGGATGACAACTCGCACCAGAACCTATTGAGCTTGTTGCGCCATGCTAAGGGTAGGGCGGCAGATGTGAACGTGGATACCGGCCAACAACACTCGCTCTTGTCCCGCGCCTCCATGCAAACCTATCTCGAGCTTTTCTTTTCGTGTTTCAATGCTTCTTACCCGCTTCTGCACCCGGCCACTTTTGAGCCATCTCGAACGGAGACTCTACTTCTCGCGGCTGTGGTGTTACTCGGTGCAACCTTTAGCGACAACAGTATTGACGCCTTTTCCGACCGGATGTACGATGCTCTGAGGGCCGAAGTGTTCCATCGGGTAGCGTTTTGTGTGACGCCAGAGCTATGGATGATCCAGACCGTGTTCTTGCTCGAATGCTTCGGTAAGTCCAGACGAGTGGAATTGCATCCCATATCGACCCATACTGGGACCGGCTAACATGATTGACAACTCTAGGACAAAGAACACATGACACGGCGTTTTTATTCCATGGCCTCCTCGTCAAGTATGTCTTTCCAGCATGAGACACGACAGTGACAACTAATGACGAGTAGTCTCATTCGGCGAAGTGATTGCCTGACTGTGCAGCAACCAAGAGCGGTCGACAAACCTGAGCTTCTCGAGTCGAATTGGCACAAGGCGATTAATGTCGAGCTCCAGAAAAGGTGAATCAATCTCAGAGGTCCAAACAATATACTGACTGGTCGACAGGGTGGCTTTCCTTTGTCTCTTTTGGGATACACAAAACGCCGCTCTCTTCTCCCAGCCACTGTCTCTGTCCACGTTCGAAATACGCACCGCTCTGCCCTGTAGCCGGTCGGCTTGGGAGGCCGCTTCTGCAGAAGAGTGGTGGAAACACGCACGCGAGGAGTCTCTCCTCCCTTTCCAGTCCGTATTGACAGCGTATCTGGATCTGGAGTCTGGGTTGAAGATTCCCGATCTTGACGCGTTCCCACTACTTCTCATCCTCAATGGACTCATATCGATTCAGTGCGAGATGAAGCACGTAGATCAGATGGCTTCTGGTAAGCGAATGTAATTGAGTCGCTCATTGGTACTAAATGTTCGACAGGATTGATGAACCATACGGGCTATTTGGACAAGGACAAATGGCGGGAACAGCTTATTGCCGCATACGACGCATGGAAAGTCGACTTTGACACCTACTGCTTGAAAATGGTCTCTTTTGACGAGAGCCACTCAAGACGAGCCCACTTTGCGCGCTTTAGAACCGCTGCAAATGCGGTGTACCACACGGCCCATATCACGTTGAACGTCGACATCGCCGATCTCCAGATCTACGCCGGAGCCCGGCGTTCCATGGGCCGCCGCGTCACACGCTCGGACTATATGCGAGCCCAAGGGAATGTCAGAGAGTGGGCCAAGGCGCGTGGTTCGTTTTCTGGAGTCAAGGCAGTGTGGCACGCGGCACACCTCTTGCGGGACAGCGTTTTCAATCTGGAACACTTTGACGTCCGACATACCTTTTTCTACCCGTTCCGTCTGTACATCTCGACGCTGATATGCTGGGCGTTTCACTCCCTGACAGTGGCGGACACTACCAAGGCGCCACAGCAGCAGATCGCCAGCCATCGACAGGGTGAGATGACACCCGCGACATCTGCTGCTGTGGGTGTAAAGACGACCGAAGGGTCTACGAGGTGGCAGGCTGAAACGGAAATGAAGGTCCTGGTCAGTAGCATGACGAGCGTGATGCCCGAACGACTCTCGCGGTTGCTGGGCAAGTATTCGACGTCGGGCCTCACGACCGTCATGGCCGAGCGGTTGAGTCGCATCAGGTGGATCGTGATCCAGGAGGGTATCAAGCTGCTCAGGGATCTTGTGCCGGAACGAGTGGTGGACGAGTACGAGGGCGAGGGCGTTGCTGATGAATAGGTAGGAGTTGCAGGAGCCTGGAGTACTACAAGACTACACGTTTCGTCTTTCTCGGGCTCGTCGTGTCTTGTGAGATGGACGACACCTTCCTCTCTCTTCCTTTTTTTCTGGTCTTGTTCTCATCCTTTACCTATACACTCCGTTCCGGCACCACCTACCATCTGGCCATATACGTGCTTGTCCTAAGGGGGCCCCGAGCAGACCAGACCAGACCAGACCAGACCAGACCAGCCTCTTCACTACCTCTCATCCGCCGTCTTGGTTTGAACTTGATGTTGATCTTGTCGAAAGAACAAGACTCGTCACCGCCGTTCATCACGACGGATTGAACTCCCCCTTACTCCCCTTCCCTCTCTACCTCTCCCTCCCCCTCCACCTTCGTCCTAATCCAATTCTCCAACACGGCCGCAATTTCGAGATTATTCAGCTCCAGCATCTGCATGTGTCCGTTGCCCAAGATCCCCCGGTCCTCGAGCCTGATGAAGTCGCACTCCACCCCGGCCTGGCGGAGGTACGCGACGGTGGCGTGGTCGTAGGGGGCGTGGTAACTGGCCTCGCCGACCTCGACCAGGACGGGGATGTGTTGTAGGTTTTTCAATTTGCGCAGCACGACGCTGCCATTTCGCGGCGCAGAGGAGTCCGCGTCCTGCCGCTGCAGTACCGTGTCGTCTCGCCCGGGCTCTGTCGACGGGATCGTCACCAGGTCCAACTCACCGACATCCGTCACGGGCGGGGAATACGCGATCGGAATGTCCGTCAGGCCCCACGCCCGCGCGGCCGCGCCGTTGTGGGGGTGTACCCCGGCAAAAGGGGGCCCGTTGGGTTCCACGGCGATGATGGCGCGGATCAGCTCGGGGCAGATGTCGGCCGCGAGCCAGCCCCCCGGAGAGCCTTGGGAGTGGGTGAGCAGGATGGCCGGCGTGGCGATGTGGCGGAGCAGCGCGGCGATGGCACTCGCTTGCGAGGATTGGTATGCGGCGATGTCGGTGACGCTGGGGTATGTACTGGCGTAGAAGGCGTCGAACACGGGGTCGCCGCGTCGGCCGGTCTGTATGAACCGTGGGGGCATGTGGTTAGTCGAGTGTGGTATGTACCAAACAGATATGCTTCATCGCTCTTCTTCTGTCTTTGTCCTTGACCTTCTCTCCTTCCTCCTCCTCCTCTCCTCC